TGCAACAGGCAGTGGACAACAGAGTGGATGAATGTAATCCGGGACTTGTGGTATGGAATGTGGTGAACCTAAATAGTTTTCACAAACAGAGACAATCACTGTCTCATTTGTTAGACAAAGCTTTAGTATAAAATAAGACAGTTAAAACAGTAACTTTCATCAGCAATCCACTCGTCCTCTTTTGATCATTTTGATTTTGATTGTCATAGATTGAGATTGGAGGCATTGGGCCTCATGCAGGAAGTGCTCATACAAACAAATTTGTTCTTAAATCGTTTCTTACAAGAGATTCAAGAAAAAATGCCGCTTTCATCATTTCTAATCTTCTCTCAGGTACAAACTTTACGACTTCTCCAGACTCGAGGAATCTTGCTAGATCAGTCAGCTACTACCAAAGCCTTTTTTTTTTTACTGACTGCATTTGTTGTTAGAACCAATTGTCAATTTCATTAGGCTACATCATTATATAAAATGCAACTCTGAAATTATAAATTACGATTTTATTAGCTGATGACAGAACAGTTGGTCACTACACCTGCAACTGACATGTTATTATCCAGAGGATGCTGGTTTAGTTTGCTTTCATGGAGAGAAGGAGCAGTCAGAGATTAAGCTATTGTTGAAATAACATCTGGAACAGAAAATGGATAAAAGTTAAGCAAAGCAGTCAGACTAGCATTCATTTCACTCTATGGCATGTTATGACACTAAATTTGGATGTTTGGGTTTGAGTCTGTCTGATTTTGTCACATTATAACTTTATAATTACCTTTGTTATGTTTATGCAAGTGCGATAAAGGGATGACCGACATGGTCTGGAGATGTACAGTACAGGTGTTTATTAAAAGGAGATTTTGCAGAATGTTGTTGTGTTTGTTGATGCTGAAATCACATTAACCATTTACATGATATGTTGTTCCTCTTGCCTCCATCAGTAGTTTTCATTGATTGTTTTGAGTTTTCATTTATATTATTTCTTTAATGTTATTTTTACCTCTATAACAGCACAACCATGGCATTAACAGATCTTGGGATTTATTTCACTGCTTGGCTTTTATTGGTCCTTTTAATTGTGCTCTCAGCTCAGAGTTAGTAAAACCTTGATCTCCGAATGAGCCTTTCTTCTCGGTCTTCAATGCCCTTTCTATTAATGTACACCTTCTGACAGGTGTGTTCCCACTTATATGTACCTGTATACAGCATTACTGGGAGAATAATTATGCAGATTTACATTGCTCACTTATGTACAGGTGAAATGTATCAGGTTTACGAGGATCTTTTATTGACTAAAGTTAAGAACATTTATTGAATCTGATGTGGTGCATTCATAACGGCCTTCGGTAGGACAAAAAGATTCATGTTAAGAATATGAAAGTTTTGTTGCATGAATATTGTATGGAGCTAAATTGGGGCCATAAAGTTTATTCACAAGAAAACAAATTTGAACCTAGCTCCATACATGAGGCCCAATGTTCTGAAATTTACAAAGAAATTTTCACATAATTGTTTTGGGTTTGTTTTTTTCAAGGGGTTGTTATGCTTATTTCTGCAGCAGATTGTTGTAATTAATTAAAGAAGGATTACACGCATTAAAAGAGTCAGAAAACTGACAATATATGAGACGTGGTTTTACTGATAAAAAGAAAATAATCTGAGATTTAAGTTAAATAAAGCAGAAATTAAGAAGTGCTTTAAAAAAGGTTTTGTTTAACATGCAACTGTAAGTAGATCTGTGTTGCCAAAAATAAAACAAGCATATGGAAAAAACCACAGAGCTCTCAGAGTCCACAGATTTTACAAACACTTTGAGTAGACACAAGTGGAAAGCCTTTTCCAGACACTTACAGGGTAGTTGGCGTTTTTAAGTGAGGTCCTGTGAAGATGATATTACTAATATTATTTTTATATGAAGCAGAAAAGCTGCCTCAGCACGAGCTTCCTGAAAATAAACGAACTCTTTAAATATGTGTTTCCTTTGCATATTTCAGAGCATTCCTCTGTGTGGCTGAATCCAACAGATATTGCATTTTAAATTTTTTAGTATTGAATATTAGATGTAGCATCATTATTCCAGATTCACATCTTACTTTATTTTGCAGGATCAGTGTCCAGCCAGAAAGGAGAGGCTTTAAACATACAACCCTATCATCTAAGCTTATCATTTGGCAGCCAACCAGCTCTACCAGGAGTAGACTCATCAAACTAGCACCATGTTATTTCCCATCATAATAAGCTGCAGCTGAAAAACTGCAGCAATTAAACCTAACCCCAACCCATACTTGTAATTCTGGGTTTAAAAGCTGTCTGCTTTAAAGTTAACATGTGGGAATATTTAATTTCTTATTGTGCCAATAGGTAGTATAGATTTTATGTCCCTACAGTAAATAGCTTTAAGGTGGTTGAACAGGAAGTGACTATGAGCTCCAACTTTATGATACACTGTGGGGCTGGATAGTAATTAAATAAAACATGTTTACATCACCAGAAAGTGTAAAGAAAAAAAAAAAAACAGCTGTTAAATTAATTAGCCTCAGCTATCAAACAAACAAAAGGATCCACATTTCGAATATTTTTCCCCGCCTGTTTTTTGTGTGTAATGAAGATGTACTTGGATGGCTTTTCTATAGCATAGCAACATAAATCAGATAATGCAGTAGATACAATTCCAGTGGGAATGCCTGCTATTTTTCTTTAATTATCTCAAATATGATATATATTTAGGTGTGATTGGGTGTTGAGGACCACACATAGTCAGGGAAGGTTAAAGAGGTTTCAGCTGTGGGCTGCTTGGTGGTGCAAAGTTCAGTTCTGTTGTTTTTAGGTAAAAAAAAATTATCCTGGATTAGAATCCTCACCAAAGCCTTTTTATATGTGTGGTTTCTCTGCAGATACTCCAGCTTCCTTACAACTTTACAAAATAATAACTATTAGGTTGATTATGTGTGTGTTTGTGTTGCCCTATGTAGCCCATATTTAACATATTAACCACTGGAGATAAACATCAGCCCTCTGTGACCTTACTGGACAAGTGGAGGATGATGGATGAGGGGGTCATTTAAATATATCTGCCATTTTGTCTCAGTAGCGTAAGGAAACTAAAAATTGCGATATTGTGATACGGCACACAGTGTGTATCAACTACTGTAACCTGGCTTTTATTTTTAATATAAAATAATGAGTTTTTAATAATCCTTAGCGTGTTTAGATGTACAAAAAATGGTTTTGGGAATTTCAACATCTTAACTGTACTTCTTAAAATTAACATACTCCAATAGGCCTACAGCTGAAGGAGTTTTTTACTGACCAGAGGGAGAAAAAAAATGGATGGAGTTGGTGACATAACACTGTAGTGGGTCTAGAAGGGCCAGCTGAACTCTCAAAGACAAGGAAAGATGCTTACAAGAACAACAAAGAAGCTTTTTTTTTGGTCAGGTAATTTCATACTTCACAAAAACTGAAGTGCAGAGCTTCTGAGAAGTCCTCATAGATCTGCATAATACAACTTTCTTTTTTGTTTTTCTTATTTAAATGTTTAGGAATAAAACCAACAGGGCCGTACCGGATATTTTCAGTATGTAAAACATGCAATTTTATGTCCTCAGTAGTAACCTTAAGTATTTATTTATTTATACTTCAGACAATTTGTATCTTATGTTAAATCTTTATTAGCTGCAGTTCCATGAGCTGGACACTGAGCACATCAATAAACTAATCCTACTGGTTTCCATTTTGGAACTGAAGCACATTTAGTTTAGGTTTGATGTCAATCATAGATCCAGTTTTTGACTGCAGGGGTAAATAGAACCAAGGATTACAGTACTATGAAAATGTATTCTCTTTTTTAAAGACAGCTTTCAGTGTTTTTACTTTTTGTCATACATCATTAGACCTTTGGACTTGGGTTTAATAGCTGGGGGTGCACCCATTCACTTCTTTGATCAATGGCAGTGGGTCTTTATATCATCATGGAGGAAAATTGTCCCACTTTCCATTACAGATTTTTTTTTGTTTTATTTTTCTGCTTATGAACTGTTTTTATTTTGTTGTTGAAGGTTAAAACAAACTGTCTGTGGTCCCTTAAGTGACTGGGTTATTTTCTGACCTCCTGGACGATGCAGTCCTGGAGAAAGTTTAGTAGATCCTAAACTCCTGAAAATGTTCACCTCTATTTCATGGTCTCTTCATTTATGGATAAAGCTTTTCAGGGCGAGACACTGCAGTCCTTGCTTTGTTACTCTTCTTATAGCCTTGGATACCTGTAACCTTGTTTCTCAACTGTTCTTTAAGATTGAGTGGCTGATATCTTAATAAGTAACTCAAAATATATTTTTTTCTACTTCGTGTTGTGAGACAGGTTCTATTGGGACTGAGCTTGGTGTTCCACAAATGGTGAAAAGCATTAATTTCATCATCATCTTGTTTTTTTCTTAGAAAATCCATCATTTGAAAATTGACTTTTGCATTTACTCAGGTCCTCTCTGTCTCATATTGATATGACAAATTATTACTATTCTAACAAAAAACAAAGCTTAAAAGAGATGTCAGTTATACTGTATAAATGTTCATGTGTATATTAAAGATAGAAAGTCATGTCTTTTGCATGTGTGCTTCGTTATGCGCACAGAGTGAGTAGCTTTGAAAAATGATTCAAAACTGTAGCCTTGCAGCCTGAAAAGGTGAAAGGAGGGAAAAAATGAGGAGTTAATAACAACACTGGATTGAATATGCTGGCATTGATCCTGGGTCAGTTTTAGCATATGTAAGAGCCATTGTTAAAATGGAACATCAGGCAGGTCATTGTGTGAAAACTTACCTTGGTCTTCTTTTTGGCAGCTCCTGCAAGGCAATGCTAGTGTGAGTGAGTCACATAGTTTCTCAAAGGCGGGATGGGTTTATAAGCTCCACCAGCCTTCGACACAGGAGTTTGGAGGCCACTTTGCTTGGCGGTCTCTCACAGATGCAGACGCAGTAAGGTCTGTCAGCTGCAGCATCTTTCCTTTTTTTCCTGAACTGGGGGGGCAAAGGAACACAGTCAGCTCTTCATCATGAGGTCCTTCTACCCTTTGCTCCTCTCTTTGCTCTTGGTGTCCAGTGGATCCTCGGCTGTCATCACAGGCGTAAGTAGAAACAGAAACTTCATTCCTCGAAAGAAGTTGGAAACCCGCGATGTGAGATGTGTGCTTTTGTTTGTTTGGTTTTTTTAGTTTGATGAAGAAGAAAAGCCTTAAAATCAGAAGGAATTGAAGTCAGAATTTATTAATAAGATTAGCTTTGAAAAGAACAATTATATTTCTCTAAATTGTAGAAAGGAAATTAATAAAAAAGAATTTAAATAGGTAGAATCTTCTGTTTCAACAAATCCTCCAAATTAGATTACACCTCACCTGATGATCTAATGTTTAGAACCACTAAAATTCAACTTATGAAGAAAACATAGAATAGAACAGAATAGAATTTGTTTTCTTTAGCATTCCTTGACAAAAAACTATGACTTAGGATAAGCGAAAAAACACAAATTATATTTGAATTTATAACATGCAAAGAGAGTCAATTTATTTATATCTGAAATCAGTTGCAAATTACATTTCAAATAGAATTTCCAAACAGAGTGTGTGGTGACAGAACAGCCGTATCTGTCATCACGGCTCTCAGTCCCTGCGCTGATGAAGCCATAAAACGTAGACCAGCTTCTGTCACATCAAATCATCTCGTTCCCTTCATCTCATCAGAAGTGAGAACTGTCTGTCAGATCAAAAAAGAAGTGGATCCCAATCCTGTAATATTTTTTCTCTCTCTTTGGGACATATGAGTACATTTAACCTTATTTAATACATAGATTAACTAATATAGATTTCTCTATTAACTCCACTGCAGCTAAATGAAGTCAGTAGTAGATGATGATGCTCACAACAAATGATGGCAGTAGTACTTTTGGGAATGTTAAATTAAATACTAGTTAGTAAGTGTACTTCTGTGTGTAACTGGGCATGTGGCTGTGTGCAGGCCTGTGAGAGGGACTCTCAGTGTGGAGGAGGGATGTGCTGCGCAGTAAGTTTATGGATCCCCGGTCTGCGGATGTGCAGTCCCATGGGACGGGAAGGAGCCGACTGTCATCCTCTGAGCCACAAGGTGAGACCCCTCTGCAGCAGCCCGCTCTCACCCCATCATCCATCTGTCCCCTTACAGTCTGGGACTTTTCCAAATGTTGTATTTAAAGATAAAGTGGAGGATGTTCTTTTTCCAGGTGGATCATCAACATAAGTGGTCCTCCTAATTGTCAATTATTCTGGTGATATGTTTACGTAAGGCCGTCCTATGTGCTTGTCCCATTTTTCACTTACCAGTGGTGAGTCTGACATAGTGGAAAAATTGCTAATGTTCTTTTGGAAAGTAAGGTTGTATGAGCGATGCAAACAGCAACTTTGCACAAGGACAAATGGGCTTGTGCATGCTCTCACATGCATTAAACAGGCATTCACTTTTGGGAACAGGTAAAGGGTTGTGCATGTGCTTTTTTTTTTTTTTTCAGAGCAGAGATGGCAGATCTTTTCAAAATTCGTGAAAATCCTCCACTATACATTTAAACCCTAAACACTGGAAGAACTGGGATTATTGTAACACAATCATCAATAGTGTAAATGAACCTTGTCAACTGCATCTATAATGTCAAGTAAAGTAAGTGTTGTTTCTCAAGCTAGAGATGCGTCTTTGTCTCCCTCGTAGGTCCCTTTCTTTGGGAAGAGACTCCACCATACCTGCCCCTGCCTGCCCAACTTATCCTGTACTGTTACCGGACAGGGAAAAGCCAAATGTCTCTCACCTTACGAGTATCCAGAATATTTCCTCTGAGGATGAATACGTCTGGTATTTCCCATATGTATACCATACTTACTTTGCTTTCCTTTAAAAGCTGATTTCCACTGTTTTTCTATTACATGAATAGAGATATATTTATAACCTCGTCTTCATGTCAATTCTGCTAAATTAAAGTGTTATTCCATTAAAAGTTAATTGCTGGTCTTATTTCTGTTTTTCTTCCTTTACCATTTGATGTTTAACTTTGTTGAACATTTTAGTGGGCTTAACTTGAAAAACATGAGAAAATATTGAAAGGGTATTAATACTTTAGCAAAGTCTTATAAATGCACATGAAACAAGGTATCCTCTCAAAACCAGGAGCTCTGAAGGACTCAAACTTTTCTGCCTCTATTCATGAGCAGGAAACATGGTTTTGTTAAGAATGATGTAGCACGCTGGGCAAATATGCACCTCACTGACCAGCTGCTATACAAAGGAAAACCTTGAGTGAATTTCATTTGGTGAATAAACATCTGACCTCAAAAACAGACGGCCTCACATGAGAAATTGTTATATTGAAAATATTCACTAATGCGTAGTGTTCACAGGCATTTAATTCTCAAGGAGGAACATTGCAATTTAACTTCTTCAAAGTTTGAAGTGGTGACTCACTGAATCTAATACTATGCGGATTAAAAACGTAATTTTCTGTAGAATCAGTTGATGTGAGCTTATTCAAAATTGAACACTAGATTCGAATTTAAAAGCAAGAATATATAAAACTGTGCGGGAAAAATTAACCATGACTTAGGATATCACCACGGTCTTACACCCAACGGGGGCCAGACGATAGAGGAACTGGTAAGGTAATTCACACCCCGTAAAGATTTTCACATTTTGTCAAAATGCAAACATACAGTATCTTCAATGTGCGTCATGCAAGGATATTGGTGATGATTGTGTAATGCAAATTATACATGATCACCATGTAAACCTGTGGCCTTTTACATGTAGAACCATATTTCCCTGCTTTTAAAGCTACAAGTCTTAGGGTCACTCTCTCTGCCAAACTCCTAATTTAAAAAACAAATCTGTTAAAGCTCAACCTGCATAGATAAACGTGAATTTTAAAATCAAGCAGAACTGGTTTAAGGCACCTTGAAGCTAGCACCTTGAACTGATGAGGCTCTGGTGCACTGGGCTCCACAAAGCTTCCCTTAGAGGAGGGGAGTTAAAAAATCCTTCAACTCAAACCATCCATCTGTGGTTTAACTACCAGCATCCTTACCAGTTAACTCATCAAGCTGCAACAAGGTTAAGCTATCCGACATGTCCGGCCCACACTTACTCTGTGTGGGTGGTGTTATGGATGTTGCATGAACGGTTAAAATATCTACAGAGATACAAGCCCTCAGAAGAAAGAAACATAGTTAGAGTTTAGAACATAATGAAATTTTGCTGGACAATAAACTGGCACAGAAATTACAGTGATAAACGATAGTATTTTCATTTAGAGACCATTTTATTATTATAATGGCATTGGCATAATAATGTAAGAACACCTTTTCAAAGACCTACTAGCAACATTTCTCAAGATGTCGTCTTATCCACAGTATTAAATTTATGGGTGTAAGGGCAGTGTGAACAGCACTGCGCTTACACATGATTATGTTTTAGGTTCAGATTCATGTTTGTTGTATTGCAGGTTTTAGTTGCTACTTTTTAATAGCAAATGCGCCATACTGGGTCAAGCTGTTCCCCACAGCCATTCAGTTGAATCCAAAGTGCTCCTACAGAGGGTCTTGGCTCTAAAACCTTTTCTCTGGCTCTCTACTCCTCATTAACAGTGATCTCATGCTACACTCTGAGGTATATCATAAGACCATGTGCCCTGGAAGTACCTGACGCAGTAGTTTATTCCTCTCTACGCTAAGAAAAATGGAAATGCCAATAATAGAGTCTGCAGGTAAAACCCATGGCATCTGCACCCATGTAACACACCCCATCTGCTATTTTATGCAGAAATAAAAGCTTATGAAAGTTTCCTGCGTTTGGAATGTAGGAAGATATTTGAAATGTTTGTAGGGAAGAGAGCAGTCCCTTAAAGTCAGCCTCAAATGTTGATTGCAATATATATGGCTTACTAAAGCAAGTTTTACTTTTACAAGAAAAGTCTAGGAACTTGGCAGACTTTAAGCGCTGCAGTCAGTGCATTTCACAGCGATTACAGAATCAATAGGCTACTAATGCTTGGGAAAAGGGGGCTAATGAGGGCGTAAGATAAAAGGCAGGTGGCACATAGTGCATTGAAAAATGTGTAACAGCCTGCTGATAAGCAATCTGCTGAGAAGAGGGAATGAAAGGCTTTTGGTGTTAGACTCATAACCCTTCTTTGCAACCTTTAGATTCTGCTTCTGCAGCTCCTCTGCAGTGTCTGTCTGCTCTCTGATGGGCTTAGTCGGAGTATTGGAGAAGGAGCAGAGGACCACCGGCTGTATTGAATCTCTATTAAACCCACTTTATTACTATGCATTTCCAGCAGATATTTGCAGCAATTATACATGTTTCTAGTCAATATTTTCCTGATTATCACTGCCTAGGGGCAGAGCTAGAAGGAGATCTAGGGCAGGCTGTGGTCACTCCTACCCAATCACGGGCCATCCCAGGGATGAATTTACCTAACACTAGTATGCAGTGTTTGACACTACACATCATTGTGTAGTGTCCCATTCACACACTAATGGATACAAGTTACACTGTAACGCTGCCCTCTGCAATTGCAATTGCAACATTTTTTTTGCCCTAAGTGCCATACCGGCTCGGACGTCGC